AGACATCTAGAACTCATCTAGGATCAACTCATGTACCTTGTGCCTCTAGTTTAGTTTAGCTTGGTTGGAGGGAATCCATATATGATTGTGTTGTTACCAAGGCTCTTAGTGAGATGACTGTTGTGTTGAAATACTGTCATGCAAGTTGTGAAGGAGTGTGAAAACTGAGATTGCTAGGCACTGTGTTGGTTTTAACAGTATTGAAACACTAGACTTCAAAAAACAACTTCACCAATGTGCAATTTGGTGTCCACTCCTTTGATCTATTAAAGAACTGATGTTTTTTGAATTTAATCCTTGAGTAACTTTTTTCCAAGCCTGAGCAGACCTGTATTGATCTTGGATTCACTCTCTTTGGTTTACTTGGAAGTAGCATGTGACCAACTCACACCATCATTGCAACTCACTTGCCCTTTTTTTATCCAGGGGTGTTTTGAACAAAACTCTGTTTAGAACTTATTCAGAATCACTTTTGAAAGTTGCTTGTGTCTGGCCCAACCTTAGATTGCATCAGCTACATACCATGTCCATCAATTTGCATCTCAAAATGACAAAATGCATAAACCTTCGATTTTTGATGTATGAGCATAATTTCAAATTTTGGTTGTTACCATCTTAACCCTCGTCAAAAATTATTCAGTTTCGACTAAAATTTCACCTGCATTCATTAAGTCTTGGTTGAGATATGGATCAAAACGTAAATCAGTTTGGGCTTGGTTTTTGTTCTTCATGTTTGCCCATATTCAATTGAAATTATGCCTTGTATATTTATGGGGTGGCTTTACATAACGGATGTATCGCCACCCCAGTGGTTATTGCCTTGCCATAAAAACGCCTAGCTTGCCTTGTGTCCTGGGTTCGAGCCCCAACGAGGCATTTTTTCGCTTCAATTATCTTTTTTTCATGTTTCATTATGTTATTCATCCTTCCCATTTGTTTTTACACGCGCGCGCATGGCCTAGTGCTAGGGTTTGTTGTTTATGATGCTGGAGGTGGTGGGTTCAACACCCACCTTGTACACATTATATTATTTTTCACTTGTTTATTTTAAGTTTCTTCACAAAATTCAGAAAATTCATAACTCACTCATTTTTAATCATTTTTAATCCATTCTTTTTGCATTGTGTTTATCTTGATTCCTACTTTCATGTGATATTTTTAAATTCCATGTTTTTTCAAATGTTCATGCCTTTTGGTTGCTTGTAAGTTGCCTTTGTATTGAGATCGATATCTCGCGTATGCAGATGAATTTCTTTTTCACTGTGATCATTTGTGTTATGATATTCACTCATTCTCATTCTTACCATGTTAGTTAACATGCTAGGGTACTCTCCTTTGGTTGTTACCATGATTTCATATCCTTTCCTCCTAAATTATGAGGTTAAACTAATTTATTTGTGTTTGATTGTCATCTATACACTTTGTTGTCACATTTGTTCCACTTTAAGTTTATAGCATGATTGTTTTCAAATTGTCATTTGTTCATATGGTTGTCACATTTATCATGCCCTCAATCTTTGTCAATATTATGCTTCTCATCTTTGTTAAGACATGTCTTCATCTTTGTCAAGATATGCCTATTGTAATATGCTTATATACTTTAGTTGTAGCCATTCATCTCACTTGAATTAATCACTCATTGTAATGTGCTTGCTCATCTTTGATTGTAATTATGTCTCCTATATTCATCATGTTTGAATGTTTACTTCTTTGTCCATTTATTTCTTCCCCAAGTGATGGAACTCTTTAGTTTGCATCCATGTTGCCTCCCTTCCCTCCTTCCAAAGGAAAAGTTTCTCCCTTGACCCTTATGTCATTGGATAGCTCATTTACCCCTCCCTTTGACTTTGTGAAGTCATCTTCAACCATAACTTAGTTAAGTTAGAACATTTAACTCAGTAGACTTTGCTTTAAGTCTAAGAAACCCACATATACTAGGAGTGCTCTTCAGTTAGAACCCTAGGATGGAGTTTGTAAACTCTATGTAAGAATCATAGTAATGATTACTTACTTCCCTCTTGAGTGTTATAACATAGATCTAGAGAGTTTTGTTAAACTCTATACAAGCATTGTAATGTTTATTCCCCTTTGAACCTTGATCATAATCAAGTGTTCTTTAACCCTAGTGAGGTGAACTACGATTGCTCTGATTCTATCCTAGTAAGGATACGTAGGCAGAGGATGCGATGTCTTTGCGAGCAAGCTTAGAAACTATCTTTAGGTTTTAACCTTCACCTTTTACCCAATCCCGATCCATAGCAAACATTTACCAAACTTAGCATGCAAATAAACAAAAGGTTCCTGTAGAGTACTACAGATGTTTAGGATGTGAAATACCTACCCTATGCATAACCAACCCCCGATCCCCGAATCTCTTAGCGTTGTTGTAACATCGCGCAAAAGGTTCTTTCTTTCTTTAGACCTTTCCTTTGGATAAATTAAAGTCCGGTTGTGAATTTAAGAATTAAGATTCAAGTTAATCAATTGCTTGGCATCACGATTCTCACCGCAACACCATTGTTCTTTCAATACTTTGTTATCATCAAAACCCAAGGAAAATATGTCATGAACAAATCTTGTTTTAACAATCTCAACTTCATCCTTAAATAATTTAAACACATTCAATAATTGTGAATTTTCATGTATAAGAAATATGTATGCATATCTAGAATAATCCTCTATGAATGATAAAAAAATATTGTTGACCATTCCAAGGAGGTGTAGTAAATGGTCCAAATGTTCATATGTATCAATTCTAAGACATTTGTAGCTCTATATGCACCAAATTTCTTTGTTTTGGTCTGTTTACTTTTAACACATTTAGCACAAACATCAAATCTTGTGAAGTTAACAAAATCCAAAATTCCGTCTGACACTAGTCACCCAACTCTATTTTTAGAGATGTGACCTAGTCGCTTATGCCATAATGCTCTTGAATTGTTATAATCAATTTCATGCTAAGTACCACATGATTCCTCATTTAAGAATTCACCATAGGTATATATCCTTTCCAACAAATATAGATTATCATGACTCATAAGTGAACTAGTACCAACAATTTCTGAATTGAAAGACAACTTGCATTCATTGTTTTCAAATGGACGTAAATAAACTGATTTGTCCAAATAAAAATCCGAAATTAAATTCCGTCTAAAATTAAATTTCGTCTTGTCCTCATCTTCAATCTTCACATCAATATTCTCAAGATCATCAATAATATTGTGAAATTGGTCAAATTGTCCACTATGGATTTGTTCTATACCATTTAGAATGAGTAAAGTTGTTGTTTCAAATACAACATATGAGGCAAAAACTTGATCATATACAATGATTCCAGTTTTTTCAACATCGAAGGCACAATCTTCTCCCTGTTGACTTTTCTTAGAACTTTATCCCCTAGGTGCATAAGATAATGACACTCCTGACCTTATCCACCATCCCGGTCTTCTCTACTTGTGTGTTGCGTGCAAACATCAAATCCCCGCCTTTCAATGCTTCAATGCATTTCTTTTGTGTTAAAATTGTTTGCATTTTCACTTTTCCCAATGCAAAATTATTGTCTACAGAAAACTTCTCGATCTCCCATTTATCCATGGTGCTCAGTTGTAAACAAAACTCATTTACCCTACAGTGGACGCTACTTATTGTGAAAAATTGTTAGAATAACTCAAATCAATTAAGAATTATTCAGAGTTCAAACACACTAAAAAATTTGATCTGTGGGAACAAAGAACAATGCCAACAAAAATAAATAGTTTAAAGGAATATAATAATCCGCCAAAAGTGAAAGCAAAACTAAAACGAGGTAGAAGAAGATAAAAGATAAGAATACAATAACTTACTTACCTAGTTCGATCGATCAATCTACCATAGGGGAGAGAATAACTCTTTTATACTTTCAATTGTTGTTACACGAGATTACAAATGAGTTATAAGAAGAAAAAAAATCCTCTTGAGTTCCCACAAACAAAACCTTTTTCTATCCAAGTGTTTATCGATCTCTCCAACTTTCAATATATGAATCACACAAGTTTAAGGTGCTTAAAAGTGTTTCTCAATCTCCTTAGAATTAGATATCTCTAAAGGTTTTCCAAATTATAAGAATTCTTAGAAATTCCAAACTTTGTTTCTTTAAGTTTAATAAAGATTCCTAACTCTTCTCATTGTCTTCATTTGTAAAGTTCTGAGGGTTGTGATGAAAATAATACAAAAGACACATATTTATAACTGCTGAAGCCCAACAGATCCATAACAAATCCCAAAACACGATCCATTAACGAAAGAATCCACTAACCGAAAGAAAAAGGCCAAAACACGCAAACCAAGAAAATCAAACAAGATGTTCAGAAACCCGAACCGCCACGAACCGACCCACCTTCACTCAACCTCCGGCCGTTCACTTCTGATTCCACCGCCGCCGCACCTGCGACTCTGGCACTAGTTTCTACCGATTTCCGATAATTATCTCCCGCCGCCGCCAGTCATTTCTACTTAATATCCTAATTGTTTTTACAATCTCAAAATATATTTTCTTTTTCTTCATCTATTGAATTTTTAAGACATACATCAACAAAACTTTTTAATTTACTTTTCACCTTTTTCTTTTTCTTATTTTTCACCTTTCAATATATTTATCTCTCTTTTTTTGATATCAAGCCTACGAATCATCTAAATGTCACAATACGACAGTAGGACACACTATATTGCAGCAGGCCATGGGAACAAAATATACTCTGACTTTGTCACGTTGAAGAACTTACTCGCCGACCTAATCCGGTACTTTTCTTAATTCTATTGACTATTTGTTAGGCTTCTTAGATATTAAGTCGATAAGATCAATAATAAAATCCTATAAATATACCAACCGTGTTGTGTCCTAACAATTCATCAAAGTAGTTACATTTGCATATCATATACTCGTGACTTAAACCTTTAATTGAGATTCTAGGAATATTCTACACCAAACTCATTTTTCACATTTAATTTCATTTTACAATCAAATGGCTTCTTCGAGTTTAATCTACTTTGGAATTTCCATGATTCTGTTTTCCTCAATAGCAATGGCAGCTGATCATATTGTAGGTGATGAAAAGGGCTGGACTGTTGATTTCAACTACACTCAATGGGCACAAGACAAAGTTTTTCGTGTTGGTGACAACCTTGGTAAACATTTAATAACATGTAACAAAACATGTAAATTTTTGTACATATATAGAACTTGCTGTCTAAAATCTACTCTTTCTCTTTATTTCAGTGTTCAATTATGACAGTTCCAAACACAATGTCTTCAAAGTGAATGGTACACTATTTCAAAACTGTGTTTTTCCGCCACAAAATGAAGCACTTACCTCAGGAAAGGACATTATTCAACTCAAAACCGATGGAAAAAAATGGTATATTTGTGGAAAGGCCAACCATTGTGCTGCACGACAAATGAAGTTGGTCATTAACGTATTAGAAGAAGGTGCACCTTCTCCTTCTTCATCTGGTCACTCTCTTGTATCAACTATCTTTGGAGTTTTCATACTAGCCTCACTTGCCATTACAGCAATCTTTTAGTTAGAGACATGTTAACTTCTTATATCTTTAGTTTGTTATTCAAATAAGAGTTTGAAGTAAGTGACAACTTAGCAAGTGTATTGCTACATTATTTTTTAGTTTTGTTGAATGAACTATATGTGAAGATTATATATGTTGGCAAAAGTAAAATTTGTCTTTTAGTTTCAGTTTAATCATGTAATATTTAAAAGTTTTAATTGGTAACCTTGTCATTATTTTTTGTTTCATTGTTGTGCTTTCTATTTAAATTGCAATAAACAAAGACCCAAAACTAATTGCTGGAAGGAGTAATGTACTTGTAAAACTACATTGCTTTACCGGTGAAACTAAGTAAAATCTCATGCTTTGTCCATTCTTTATCTCCTTTCCTTCGATGATATATCATTTGTTTATATAGTATTTTTGACATTCTCTGCATTTAAAACTCATTAAGGGCCATTAATGTGATTGTCCCTGATTAAATGTGATCTCCTAATGATGATAGGAATCACAATTTTTTGTTAGATCATATCCTAGATTATAGGACTTGAGATTGGCTTGACTTTGTAGGCAATTTGCTCATCTATAGTTTTGATTGACAATATTTTATAAGAAGTTGCATGTAGGTGTGAAAATATTTCAGAGGGTTTCAACCACTACTAGAAAAACTCTGTTTTTATGCGGATTTTGACAAAACTTTCACAGAAAACGTATTACCTGCGATTCTTCCTGCTATTTTCTGTTCTCAGCTAAAACCTTCGTGGATAATTAACTTAGCAGATAAAGTCGCAGGAAATTGTCGCAGATAATAGTCGCAGGAAAGTGTCGAAGATAATAGTTGCAAGAAAGTGTCGCAGATAAAGTAGATAAATTTGCAGAAAACGCTGCAGGTAATTGAAATTTTCGCATGAAAAGTCGCAGCAAATTGTGAATTCGCAGGTAAATTCGCAAGTAATTTCTCTCTCAGATTTTTAATTTTTGTTATTAATTGTGTTAAAATATTTAAAATATTATAGTTATTGTTAAATATCAAAGTAACAATAATATAAAATAAAAATTTAATTTGAATAAGACAATGCAACACTAATCACATTTAAATTTTTAAAGTAACCAAACATTGCTATAAAATCAATAACAAATACTTAGATATGTACATTACAAAAATGAAACTCTAAATGAAAAAAATCGTAACCCGTTAATATGTAATCTGTAGAGACCATTCATGTGTTTCACATCAGCAACAAATGACTTTACATACATATACGGATGTACATAATTTACATATACACAATTTAAAGATTGGAGAGGGGATATAGACCCTGTTAAAATGTAGTCTTAACTACAAGGACCAAGCATGTAAACTGTAACAATTGACTATACAATATACACATTAAAGATGTAGGTGAAAGCGGATGGGGTAGGATATCCATGGCAAGTCTTCACTACGTACAGAATACCTCATTTCTCTCTTCTTTGCCGCATCTTGAAGTGCGGCTCTCACTAGCCTCCTTGCAATTCCCTGAAAAGGTACGATAAGCCGCGTCAATTTAAATAAACCATGGTAAAATGATAGTGCTTTGTATCTTAAGGTTTGTATCTCACCGAACGAGGGTTGTTTTGAACTATATCAACAACTTCTTGATTGCTAAGGTGCTCCCAGAGCCCGTCAGATGCAAATATAATAAACTGATCTTGTGGCTGCAGCTGGTGAACTGATATTGATGGCTCCGAGCTCAAAATTGGTGTTTTGAACGGCTCACGAATCCGAAACTTTGCATATAAAGGTTCTCTATTAAACTCAGCCTTTTCAGATATACATCACCAATAGATCTAGATATCTGCAAATGTAAAAAACATGTAAGATAAAATGACGTCGTAAATGAAGAAGGGACAATCCAAACGTCCAAGTCGAGCTAATACTGGACCGATATCTTACTTATATTAGACCCTTGACACGCGATACATTATGCCTTAAAACAACAATGTGTGAATCGTCAGGGTGCATAGATTTCAATTCGTGTCTTATTGACTTTATAGCTGCATTGTGTTCTGTTGACAATTGCACGGCTAAAACCTCCCTGGTTGCTTTGAATGCTCTTCCTAAAACTGCTCGGGAATCACCGAGATTTGCTATATAAAGAGTTCCATTGCATATTACACCGTCAAGAGAGCAGGATCCAACCGATGCAATTTGTGGTTTCATGGACCATTGTTTGGTAACAAGAGACATAAATCCGTCTTCTGTTGCTTGGATTGCCTTGCGAATTACGTTCGCCAACATTGACTGTTGCTCTGCAGTAAACCTTGAAATTTAATAAGCATAAATACTTTTAATTGATAATATTGCAAAGAACTGGAACACAAAAACACCATTAAGGTCCTTTTTGGATAAAAGGTTTAATTAATCAATCGCTTATAACAAAAACGCTTACCAATCAAGCATGCCAATATCATAACTCTACTGCAGAGTTGACACGTGTTCCCATAATTATGCTAACTACTTTAACCTCAAAATTTAGAAAATTCCAATTTGGACCCATCTACCGATGGCGTTAATCTTTTACCTTTTGTCAGAAACGCAATAGATATGGTGAATTTAATATATATTTTGCTTTTAAGAATGTTATTACCATATTGTTTGAGAGGACATACCATATTAGAAGGAAGGTCAAGGTAAAGAATAGTATGATTGCTTGTCACGTTAGCAACCCCGGGGCCAAATAACTTTTGCAGCAAATATCTTATGAGGACCTGCATAGTTATTGAGACATTTTTTGTATTAGCATAAGTGCCATCATCAATATGAATATATTTAACAACTCAAAGTGAAAAGGTTATCATATTATTACCCCAAGAATTCCAAAACCAGCTAAGTGAGCCATACATGAAACATAGTCTAGTAACTGTGGCAAACCTTTAGGAGGTTCCTGAAAGTATACAAAATCAACTATCCGCGTATATGATTAATTGAGAAACATTAAAGTGTTGAGATCACAATCAAATGAAAAGTAGTGATGAAGAGAGCTTACAAGTTTTGAGTCATGAGAACCAAATGTTGCATTAGTAGAAATATGTGGGGTGGATGAGAGTTCTTGTGGCAAAGGTCTAACAGATGAGTTTGTAATAACAATACTTCCATTTTCTGAATGGAAACTGTTGCTCTCGCTAACCCGTCTACTCGGAAGAGCTCGATCGCCTATGTCACCTGTAACGCCCATTTTAATTATTTTTGGTTTTCGGGAATATTTTATTTGAGAATGTGCTTGAGGATTATTTTGAAGGATCAAGAACTCATGATATTGGTATACAGTGATAAAAATATGATATTTAATAGTAATGTGATATTATTATTAATTATTATAATTTTTATTACTAATATTAATTTTATGAGTAAAATTATAATTTAAATGGATTTTTGGAATAAAAGTATTATGAGAAAATATTATTATGAGTTAATTGGATTAAAAAGGATGTTGGGGTATTGAGGGTAACTGGGTCTTTTGCAAAATAGAAAGAGAAGGAGAAAGGAGAGAACTCGTACGAACACGAGAGGGAGGAAGAAGCAAGCAAGCAAGCGATCAAGGGAAGCAAGGCAAGAGCACGCGGGATTCGTGAAGATTTTAGGTGCTTCATCAACTTTAGAATCGAATTTGAGGTAAGGGGGGGGGGGGATTTAACGGTTATTTTGGTATGTGCATGAATATTGGTAGAAAGGGGAATCCCTAACCCCATGTATGAGATTATGGAATATTGATGATGAATTGGTTGATTGCATGTTCTTGTTACTGATATTGTTGTGTTGTTTGAAGTTTAAATCGTTGCATGTGTTGGGGATGTTAGATTGGATGAGTTTTGGGATTTTCGGTTAAGTTCGAAGTTGAGGCAGAAGTTGGTTTGGAGAGCAGAGTTGATGAATAGTCGGATAGAATCGGGAGTAGACCCGTAGCTCAGTTGTAGTATGTTTTTGGTTGTGGGTTTCGATTTAATCAGGGGAAATCGGCGTAGGAGGTGACTCTGCAGCGCATAATTTTTTCTGAGTACGCAGGTATTCGCTGGGCGAATGAGGGGCGAGCCTTCGCCAGGCTTCGCTGGGCGAACTAGCTAGCGAGTGCTGGAAGAAGCTTCTGTCTGGCTTTGCCAGAGGTTTCACCAGGCAAATGGAAGCGAGTGTTCGCTGCGGGGCTTCGCCGGGCGAATGTGCCAGCGAGCCCGACAGCAGTTTGTGTTTTTGCTACTGTTTTATGTTGTTTCCTTTTTGGACTTGGACACTTGGTGGGCATGTTTGATGATGAGCTTGATGGAGAGTTGAGGCGAGTGTGTGTTGAAGGTTGTAGGGCTGTGTAGCCGGAGTTTACCGCCTTAGACAGAATCAAGGAATTATGTGTTAAGTCTCGATAATTGTGGATGTGTTTGTGAGATGTGTGCACGATGAGCTTAGTGTGTGAGATATGTGGACCAGTATGATCGACATGCCTTGCGTGCTTTGTGGTGATGTGTTGTGATGAGTGGATCCGTAGGATCGATACGCTGATTGTGCGTTGCATTTATATGCTGTTGTGGGATGTATTTGGGTCAGTAGGACCGATATGCGTTGTGTGCATTGTATGTGGTAAGTTGTGTGGTGAGCGGATCCATGGGATCGACGCACTTTGTTTGCTTGTTATGTATGTATTTTGTGATGGGAATGGATCCGTGGGATCGGTACGCCTTGTGCGTCGTGTATATATGTACACTGTGTGAGGGGTGGATCAATAGGATCAGTTTGCACTTGGTGTGCTAGATGTATGATGTGTGTGAATATGGTTGTGTGCTCCCGTAGAGGAGGGTGATGGCCCAACGACCATCGGTATTGTTGGTGTGCTCCCTGTGAGGAGGGTGATGGCCAGTTGTCCATCGTTAATATGTTGTGCTCTCGGTGAGGAGGGTGATGGCCATGTGTCCATCAATGTTGATGAGGTGCTCCCGTTGTGGAGGGTGATGGCCAGGTGTCCATCGGAGATGTGCTCCCGTTGTGGAGGGTG